GGTCCTCTCTCTTGCTCGAGCTTGCTTGCACTGATGAAGTAAGCTGCCACATTGTGAGATGCTCTACAAAGAGGCCCATGAGGCAGGGCATTGAGGGAAGCTTCTGGCCAGCAGCTCCTGGGAAACTAAGGCCTTGGGAAGTGAGTCTTGCCAACAATAACCAGGTGAATGAGGCAGGAAGCAGACCTGTCCCAATTGAGCTCGAGAGGACTGTGGTCTTATAAGAGACCCAAAGTCAGAGGGTTGACTTACAGAACTGTGAGATGATAAATGTTGTTTAAAGCTACTAAATTTTGGGATAATTTATTATGCAAGACAAGATCTCTAATCCATATCTCATTTTATAGATGAAGAAAATGAAGCTTTAGGGTGATAAATCAATGTTTCATGCCGTTGGTAAATGGCAGAGCCAGAGCTTTTGGAACATATTAGATTCTAGGGTCTGACTTTAAGTCTGCTTTCTCATGAGGTTCCAAGTGATTGGGACACCGTAGTTCTAGAAGAATTCTACTCTCTGAAATCCTTGGAGTGTAGCCATGTTTCCAGGAAACTCTTTGTGTGCATGTAAAACAGAGATGGACAAAAGTTTATATGGTGCTAAGTGCTTTGAGTGGGTCCACTCCCTGCTGCAGAAGAATAGCTGGTCCACCCATAGATCTGGTGATAGTAACCAGGAGCTCCAGTCAATAGCACAATGGCAGAGCTAAGAGCTACAAGTCCATCCATTTTTACAAGCACTCCAGCCATCTTACCCATAATATGTAAAGCAGGTGGAAGGGTGCATACAATTTTCTTAAGGATGAAAATGAATGCATTTAGTAATGAAAAGTCATAGTGTGGTATTTAAAAATCACACGAGCTCTGAAATCAGATAGCAAATGGTTCTGCCTGAGAGACCAGAACACCTCCTTTCACTGATTTTTTTTCTTCCCATCCATGAAACAGAACCTTGAACTTTGAAATCGCAGTGCCTTGTTCCAGAGTGGAAAGCAGCGTGGCACTTCCCTGGGGTGAAAGTGCCCCAGCTTGAAAGGGTAAAAACACCTTCTCCCAGATAGTCTCCCTTTGTTTAACCAGTGCTTTTTTCCAGTGGTCACCTTAAGGGAAACAAATGAAGATATGCTCCTTGGTTGGCTGCATGAATCCGTTCTTCCTTGTCAGCTTTGCCCAGAGCAGCAGGCTTTGAGCTCTGGGAGGATTCCAGGTGGCAACAGAACAACGGTCCCATAGGCTGGAGCCTGGCACGCTTTCCCTTTTAACCAGTGGCAGAGGCTGCACTTTGCTGGTGTAATTATGCAACCTGGTATAAAGTCCACATGGGTGGTGGTGGGGGATAGGCGAGGTAGGACTCTAAGCTGGCTCAGCACTCTGATTGGGCTTCTTGACTGTTTTTCTAGCTTTTCTTACCCTTTTCTCTCCTGCCTCCTTGTCCCCTCCGCTTCCCTCCTTTCCCCTCCCGTTCTCTCTAATCCCTTCATCTTTGTCAGCCTGCACCCTCAGGGATCCCTAACTCAGGAAACTACCTCTTATCAAATACTTTGGCTTGCCTCCAACTGCTAGTGGCAGGCAGCTCTGGCCCTTGTCTGCTATCTGAGCGATTTTCTTCTCCACCGGTTGTTTATTTCTCTAATCTGGTTGGAATTGGAATCGTGTGTAGAATCCAGAAGAAAAAAATCCAAAAGCAAAAAATGGAGCCTTTTCCTAGTAAGACTGCCCCCTGGGCTAAAATAGAAATGAAAGGAGACTTGGACTCTTCTCTCTTGAAAAGTGAGATATGAAAGAGAGCAGGAGAAACAGCATTAGTATACAGGAAAGCCCAAGGCACACCATATTGCTCCTCAGATATTGGACATCACTCTGAGTCTTCTATTTTCTGCTTAATTGGGATTTATAAACGCTATTTTTGCCCTGAATATACCTGCCATTTTGGTTGTGCCCAAGTGGCTCTGAACAGATACCATCTGTAGCACCTCCACAGCCAGCCATGCAACAAGAAGCTGCAGACTCCCAGACTCCAGTGTTCTTGCTTTCTGAGAGGGAGCCCTGAGAATGGTGGAGAAGCACAAAACACAGGAAAGAAAAGAGAGAAGCTGGATGGAGTAATTACATGATAGGGTTACCTTGTGCATGTGAAAGCAAAATGTAGGGTACATGCAATAACCCCTCCAGTACTGCACAGTAGCTTTCTGTTACGTCAAGGCATGTTCCTTAAAACCTTCCTTAAGGGCTTCCTACTTCTTACTGGGTTATAACATTTATTTTATATGTCCTTTCTTAACTGATAATCACAAAGAATAGGAATGATAGACATGTGTGTATGAGCAAAAGCATTTATGCATGCTTTTTTCTTTTTTAGTGTATGAAATAGCGACTGACTTTTGTGACAATTTTCCACCTAGTTTTGTGATAATAATTTTACTGTGTTCCTAAACTTAGATGGCAAGTCCACTTAGGAAGGCTGGCCTAATTCTACGTTCTCTATGGCACCTAGTCACTGAGGCTGTGCAAGAACCATTATTACCCAAAGCACCATAATAATGATCATGCCCTCTATGACGTTATTGTTTCCTATCTGTCAGGACACTAATTGTCTTCTAACTTGCTCTAAAATTGGTAGTATGGCACACTGCCAAGACTAGAGAGAAGCAAGCTGCTGTTGATATATTAAAAGGCTGTGTGAAAGGACATACTGGTATTTGCTTTTTCTTGGGGCATCTTCACGTTTGCATTACTTCATATGTTATGGGATGTTAGCCCAGGCTTGCCTTATGTCTTGGCGTCTATCTTATCTTGGTCAATGTCTGATCCTTCCTTCAACTGAGTGATTCAGACATCTCTAAGTTATTTTGGCTTTTCCACTTTCCTTTCACAGGCTCTTTGTGAGTCATTCAATTGAATGGGTGGTTATTTCTAAATTGGAAGGTGAGGAAGAGAGGTGGGGGAGGAAAGTTCCGGAAAATAACTAGGAAAAGGCACTTTATTGTTATGTATAGTTACTGGAGGAATAATTTCTGCTTAGTTTGGTGATAGAAGTATGTACTTTATTTAAACTAGATTAGAAAATATACAATATTTTTCTGAATAATAAACCAGTTTTAGATTCCTTGTAACTTGCTCTGCAAAGAACAAGGAGGTTAGCAAATAGAATAAATATGAGACAAAGAGTTAGCAGAAAGAAGAAAGAGACAAAGCGCAAAATTTCCAAACTCCACACCCTTCAGGGAATGCCTCCTTGACAGTGTCTTCTTTTTTAAATTTAAGACAGAGTCTCGCTCTGTTGCCCAGGCTGGAGTGCAGTGACTCGATCTATAGAGATCGGGTTTCACCATGTTGGCCAGGCTGGTCTCGAACTCCTGACCTCAAGTGATCTGCTTGCCTCAGCCTCCCAGAGTGTTGGGATTACAGGTGTGAGCCGCCAAATGCCCCAACAGTGTCTTAACCCATCCCTGGGTGCTATGTTTCATGGCCCATGGGTTTGTGTATCATAAGTGGAGTTGTGAAAAGGTACATTTAAATCTGATTTAGAAATTGAAAGAGTAATCAGACCAGCATTTTGTTATTTAGGAGCAGGAAAAGTGGGTGAAAAAAAAAAGCAAAAAGCTAATGATGAATATATTTCTAGGAGCACAAGAGTTTTTATAGCAACACTAGATTTCTCAAAATGCTTACTGTGATTTGTACCCAAGTGAATAAAAAATGTAATCATTTATTCTTGTGCATTGTGCCAAGTGAGGAAAAAAAAAACAACACACAACCCGGCGATTCATTCAATGGCCCTAATTTAGACTGCTAGGAAGAGGTTTAGAAAAAATAAAATGAGAGAAGCTTTTAAAGTATCTGACACACAGCTAGTAGGGCTATTTAAGAATTGCTGAACAGAAAAACAAAGTGGCAGTGAGAGGTGGGGGAAGCGGAATTCTAATTTCCACAGCATTATAAGGGTATAATATGGTCCACTTATTAGAAAGCTGCGGGCCGGGCGTGGTAGCTCACGTCTGCAATCCCAGCACTTTGGGAGGCCAAGGCGGGCGGATCATCTGAGAGCGGGAGCTCCAGCCTGACCAACATGGAGAAACCCTGTCTTTACTAAAAATATATTTAAAAATTAGCCGGGCGTGGTGGGGCGCCTCCTGTAGTTCCAGCAACTCGGGAGGCTGAGGCAGGAGAATCGCTTGAACCCGGAGGCGGCGGTTGCGGTTAACCGACATAGCGCCACCGCACTCCAGCCTGGGCAATAAGAGCAAAACTCCGTCTCAAAAAAGAAAAAAAGAAAAAGAAAGTTGCTAATGGCTGCCTGGCCACTTGGCAGGAATGGAGCTGAAAGCTGGATAACTCCCAACAAACCACTTAAGTTTATTGACAACGTTTATAATTGCAACCGAAGTTGACTGATTTCTGCTAAATGAAAGGTTGCGCTTTGCCTTTTAGCATGGAGGATCCTGGAAAGAACTTCAATGAAATTGGGCGCATCCAAAGAAAAAGAGGGAACATTTCTATCTCTAAGGTATCTTTCTCCCCAGAGCTTACAAACACTTCTTAAACACAGCCTCTGATGTTAGTGTTTTGTAAGTACTACCTATGAGTAAAGCGAGCAGAGATAAGCTTCTCCTTGTAGGAAAGGAGCTGGAGAAGTGGAAGAGTTTACAGAGAAAACTCTACAACAAAGAGTTAACCCTTCCCTGGTAACCTCGGATGTGAGCGTTTGCCCCGCCTTTGCTTTCTACTGTGCAACCAAACTGTGTACAAGCTTGAATCAACTTTAGTCGTCACATAGCTTGCCAGTTAGCTTAACAGACATTTTTGGCAGCCTATCATAACTTCGAAATGCCCAACCCTCAACCAATTACAACTAAAGCTTGAGCTAGGACGCTCCAGGTCCGGGCGGGGGCGAATACCGGGTTCAGGAAAAGGGGAGGTAAAGACGCGATGACGGGCGGGTATACTAAGCCAATCAAAGAGGAAAACTGCCGCCCCACTATCCAATGGATAGGTTAGAAGTATGAAAGGGGGTGGGCCTGTTGTCATGGGGGAGGTGGTGGCGCTTGGTGGCCACTGGCGGCCGAGGTAGAGGCAGTGGCTCTGGAGTTGGTCGGGGGCAGCGGCAGGTGAGTGCCGGTAACGCGAGTCAGAGATCTGGGGGCCGTCGCGGGGTGGAATCTCCAGCTTAGCACTCCGGAGGCGGAGGCCGGAGGAAGGGGGCCTGGACTTCCAGTCGGGGCCGGGGCCAGGGCGGCGGCGGCGGGGGCGGCGGTGAGTTCGCGCTGACTGGTCTGGGGGAAGAATGGCTGGGCTTCTGGCTGTGGAGTTCGCCCGAGGAAAGTAGGCTGGGGCCGGACACACGCGGGTCAGGCCAGGAGGTCCCTTGGGACGTCTCGCTGCCCCGGTCTGGGGCACTGACCGGCGGCCAGTGTGTGAGGAATAGGTCTCTGAGGAGACGGAAGCGGACAGGGTCCCAGGGAGGAGGGTGACTTGTAACTACCTGCTCCGAGGTCGGGGTGTCTTGGGGTGTCCCGGGACAGCTTGTGTGCCAGGGAGAAGGGGAACCCAGGCAGCCCGGCAGCGGCCCGTGTGGTGGGAGCGGGGTGGGTGGGGGGCAGGGGAACGGGGAGTGGCCCCGGTCTGAGGGAGGTGGGAAGACCAAGGGTGGCCGGGGTCCCGGGTGACAGGGAGCAGACTTGCTCCAAGTAGGGGCGTCTGAGGAAACGCTCGGAGGGGGTTGGGGACCCTACTGAGAAAAGCGGCTGCCTAAGGGTGGGGGCTCCTGGGGGAGATGAGGAGCAGCGAGTCTTGGGAGGGTCGGACGGGTGGAGACCTTGAACTGCACGAGGGAGGAACCGGAGCGCCCTGTCCCCCCCTCCCCGTAGCTGGGCTGGGATGGGAGACCCAACCGGCCTGGCAGCTCCTGGGTCTGAGGATCCCCAGGGAACCAGGAAAGAAGTCCTCGAGAAGTGGCTCGGGTTTGAGATTGGGGTGAGGAGCCAGCAGGGAAGTGGAAGTTCTTTCAGTTGGAGAGGAGTCGTGCAAAATGGTATGGAGATGGCGGGGGTAGGGGAGAAATAATCCCTACAGGAGAGAGTAGTAGATAAGGTGGACGAGAAAGAAAGTTGTCTGAGGAGAGAGTAATCATCTGGTGGAACTGGCTAGGACACTGGATACAAGAGAAATTAACAGTAGAGCCATTAATAGGTTCAGAGGTCTTCAGAAATAGAAGAAACTTCAGCTTCATAATTAATGCTAAGATGCCACCTAGGACCAAAGAAAATCTCCTAAAAGCAAGGTTAAATGACTTGCATTATAGTGTTTTAGAAAAGAAATTTGTTTTAGAATGTTAACAGTAATATTGGAAGTAAGTTCATTGACAGGGTGGGGAATTTGAGATGGGAGGAGTAGCTGAACTAAAGGAGTGGAAGTAGATACTTGATCAGAAAAAGAATAGGCATACTTTGCTAAACTGAAAATAAGTTTGAGTTGTAGTTCCACCACTTAGCTAAGTTTCTGTGCAGTTTGCTCATCAGAATGCTAATAGTAATAGATCCTACTTTATAAGGTGGTGTTGGTTTTTTTTTTTTCATGTGAGTTAGTATTTGTAGAGGTTTTAGGATAGTGACTGGCACATAGTAGTGTGTACTGGATTGCTAAATAGAAGATAAAGACTTCTTCAGTGGGGTGGCTCCCAGATATTAGCTTGCATCAAAATCACCTGGAGGGCTTGGTAAACTGTAGATTGCTTGGCCTCACCTGGGGGTTTCAGTAGGTCTGGGGTGGAGCCCAATAATTTGTATTTATCTCAAATGATGATCACCTTGGTTAGAGGACCACACTTTAAGAACCACTTACTTTAATGAAATCAGTAATAATGGTAGCAGCTTTAAAATACCTGCTCATCCTGCTAAAGAGTCAGGTAGAGGCAAATTACCAAAAAGATCCTCTTACAAAGGATACCCATTTTTAAGCCTGTGTTTTTCAAACTGTGGACTGTGATTTTTTAATAATTTATAAAATCAGTGTTGTTTTACTAGCATTGAAAATAAAATGTAGAGCAGAATGCACTGACATTGCACTTGATAAGGAAAAGTATTGTTTTGGGAAATACTTTCTCCTACGTATTTGTACACTTTACAATGTAAAGTGTATTTCTTTCTCTCTCTTTCTTTTTTTTTTTTTTTT